AGCTTCGGCTCCCAGTTTTGGCCATCAGTCTCAGCTGCCGTATATCCAAGAGGATTATCCATCAGCATCACAGCCTTATCATCCTCCACCGCCTTCACAGAGTTATGGTAATGATAGGAAGAAATTTGATCGGAGGTATTCCAAGATATCGGATAACTACTCTTCTTTAGATCAGGTGAGTTCAAGACAAGGAATGATGTACACTTGGATTTTGCCTCAAAGTGTTGAAATTGATTCTAGTTTGTGTCTCAACGATTCCAGGTTTCCGAGGCTCTAGGGCGTGCAGGCCTTGAATCTTCAAATCTGATTGTTGGTATTGATTTCACCAAGAGCAATGAATGGACAGGTTTGTGAAAGCTTTTTAAGATTCTTAATCTAATTTTTGCATGTAAGGGACCAAGGAGAAGACAGACTAATTGGTTTCTTGCAGGGGCCAAGTCCTTCAATAGGAAAAGCTTGCATCACATAAGCAATACCCCAAATCCATACGAACAAGCAATCACTATCATAGGAAGAACCTTAGCCGCCTTTGACGAGGATAACTTAATTCCTTGTTATGGTTTTGGAGACGGTAAGCACTGTTTTATCTCTATTTATTTACGTATCTCGATTCTCAGAATATCAATTGGCTCATCAAGATTTGCTTTTGTCTCTTTGCAGCATCAACTCATGATCAAGACGTTTTTAGCTTCTATCCAGAAGGTAGATTCTGTAATGGGTTTGAGGAAGTACTGGCTCGGTATAGAGAGATTGTGCCTCAGCTTAAGCTCGCAGGTTTATTTTCCTCCTCTGGCCTGCACTAGCATTCTGTATCTCCTTGTGAAACGCAAGTAATGGAACCGTGTGTTTGTTGTATTTCAGGACCGACCTCTTTTGCCCCCATCATTGAAATGGCGATGACAGTGGTCGAGAAGAGTGGTGGCCAATATCATGTCTTAGTGATTATAGCTGATGGACAGGTTACTAGAAGTGTCGATACAGAAAATGGACGGTTAAGTCCGCAAGAACAGAAGACAGTAGATGCAATTGTGAAAGCAAGGTGCGAATATTTCCATCTTTTGACTAAGTTTCTTCCATTCCATAGTTCTTTTCTTTGCGCGTTATGTAATCAGTTCCTTTCTTCCTCTTGCAGTACGCTTCCTTTGTCAATAGTTTTAGTTGGAGTGGGGGACGGACCATGGGACATGATGCGGGAATTTGATGATAACATACCTGCCCGAGCTTTCGATAACTTCCAAGTAAGCTTTTTTCTCATCTCATAACATTAACGATTGATTTTTTTTGTTTTTCTGGTTCTGAGACGTTTTTCCATTCTGTTATATTTGGGTTTCTAGTTTGTGAACTTCACGGAGATCATGTCAAAGAACAAAGAACATTCTCGGAAGGAGACAGAATTCGCACTCTCTGCTCTCATGGAGATTCCTCCGCAATACAAAGCGACGATAGAGCTTAACCTTTTAGGGTATTGACCCAAATCAAAACGTTGATAGATTAGCTGCGATGAGACGCTATCAAAGTTCTTAACTTACTCTTGCCCTGACATTTTGCAGCCAAAGAAACGGGAGTATCCCAGAGAGAATCCCACTTCCGCCCCCGGTGCAGAGCGGATCAAATTTCTTCAGCGCGTCAAAAGCTTCCCAGATACCGAGTTATGAACCTACTTATCCTAGTGAAAGCAAGCATATGGCCAGTGGTGTAGACGACAACCAGGTAATTAATTAGTGGAAACTTTGAATCTGTATGAAATGTTGAGAAATAGGTTTGAAACTCTAAATTCGTTTGTCTTTGAACAGCTATGTCCGATATGTCTGAGCAATCCTAAAAGCATGGCGTTTGGTTGCGGCCATCAGACATGTTGTGAATGCGGACCTGATCTTAAGGTGTGTCCGATTTGTCGCGCACCGATCCAGACCAGAATTAAGCTCTACTAACAACCCCATTTACATATAAAGCTTTGACCTGTCCAGACCCATCTTCTCCGAGAGATTTTAGATCTTTCTGTAATAAAAACAAAAAAAAAAAATGTTCTTTTGTTCTTTGATCGAGAAACTTTTAGCTTGTTCCCAAAATTTGTTGATTTCTTTGCGTGGATTGTAAGAATATGTGATTTCTCTTGATCTGATCTTAAGAAGATGCCAAGGTTCAATGTTTGGTTTTTTTCAAGGGTGATTTGTCTTAAAGGTAGTTAAATTACCCAATATAGGCCCATTAGCACTTAATTGGGCTGAAAATCAAATTTCCCCAAAAAGGTTATAGCCACGAACAAAAATATTCACCACTCATCATCAATTATCCATTCCTTTTTTTTCTTGTTTAAAATAACAAAATAAAGGATGACAGTTTTCTAGATTCTTAGCTTCTGCGAAGTTTGATAAAGCTAAAGTGTGTATCGGAAAAAAGATCTTTATGGATTCTCTTCGATTCAACCTACAACAATCTCCATTTCAATCCAAACCGAGAATTCTTCGACCAAGAGCCACTAACAGCATATCGAATCAAACCGATCCGCGACCATCATTTTCGGCCGGTAAGATCCAACGGTTAGTACTCAACAACGAAGGTCGGACCAAACTAAACGTCGACCCTGACCGTGAATTCTATTCATATCCACGTTTCGTGAACCACGTAGACGATCAGTTCATATCCTCCTTAACCGATCTATACAGAAACCGGTTAAGACCCGGTTCGATTGTATTAGACTTGATGAGCTCATGGGTTAGCCATCTACCAGAAGATGTCAAGTACGAGAAAGTAGTGGGACATGGTCTTAACGCACAAGAGCTAGCGAGAAACCCTAGACTCGATTACTTCTTCATCAAGGATCTTAACGAGGATCAGATATTCGAGTTCGAAGACAAGTATTTCGATGCCGTTTTATGTTCGGTCGGTGTACAGTATCTACAACAACCAGAAAAGGTAAGTAATGTAAACCAAATTTCGGTTTATGTCAAAATTTCTAAACCGGATCTCATTTCGATCTTTAGGTATTTGCGGAAGTGTATAGAGTGTTGAAACCGGGAGGTGTGTTCATAGTGAGTTTTAGCAATCGGATGTTTTATGAGAAAGCAATTAGGGTTTGGAGAGATGGAACAGAGTACGGTCGGGTCCAATTGGTGGTTCAGTACTTTCAGTCTGTCCAAGGGTTTACTCAGCCGGAGATCATCCGGGAACAGCCTGGTGGTGGTGGAGGAGGACCTGAGAAACCGGTTTTGAGTTGGTTTATGAGTTTTCTTGGTTTAGCTTCTAGGCCGGACCCTTTTAATGCTGTCATTGCTTACAAGAATTTCAAACCTCTGTATGAGTAAAAAAAATGTAAATGTTATGTTTTTCCTTCTAATATTATTACATTGTAAAATATATACAAAAAAATTGAAAATAAGAAGTTGGTCTTGAATAAGAAGATTGGAAGAGTGATAAGAAAAAGAAATAAAACTTTGAATCAGTACCAAATCCAGCTGGAGAAACTTACATTGCAAATTCGAGAAATAGTGAAAAATTGAAATGCTAGATTCTGAACAACCAATCAAATTGGAAGAACCTGTAATACAAAAGAAATAAACGAAGGAAATATTACACTGTGGAAAATAGTATGGTTTGTGTGTGATTCGTTTTGTTTGTAGATTCATGGACAATGGACAATATCCAAGCAAGGTAGCCTTGTCCTTTTCAACGAGTATCACGAGTTGCTTATGTTACTAAAAATCCATTGCATGTATTGATGTACAATTCAATAGTGTTAGGCTTGCTTTTAAGTAGATATGAAGTTAATAAAATATAAATTTGGTTAGAGAACTCGTTATGCCATCAGTTATATCACATATTCAAAGTTTTTCAAGATTGATAACCAAAAATAGGTTTTAGATATTCTTCTATGGAAGTTTGTATATCATCCAAAACCAAGAAAGTTATGAAATACCAATTAGGGACCAAGTAGAAGGAATCGTCTATGGAAGTGTCAAAGACACAAAACAAATAAATATTAAACCAAAGATGAAGCAAAGAAGTTGATTCAAAGTTGCCACTTTATCTTAACCTTTTCCACCTATATATATATATGGATATTAACCCACTCATTCACCACAACACATCATATCCTTCACATATCATTTTTCTTCAACCCCTGTATTTCTCACCTCCTCGCCAATATGGCACAACGTTTTCAATTGAACCCAAAACCCCTCACTGACCCACCAGCCGATCCTCTCAGAAGGGCCTCTCTGATCCCAAGATCCGCTGAGCAAAAGCTGGCTGATAACTTAGGCGAGAGGCGTCCCTTAGCCCCGAGAACTCACGAAGACAAACCCTTTGGTGATCAGTCAGATGGTCTCCAACATCCCCATGTTGCTGCGGATCATAATAAGGTGATGGGCCATGAGACTGACAAGATGGTCCCTAAGATTGCTCATAATCCTCATTCATCTGAGGATCTCGTCGATGCGAATAGCCGACATTCTTTGGTTCCAAAATCATTGGGAAACAACTCGCTCGGTGGAAGATTTGGACCGGGAAAGAAACAAGCTTTCCATAGAAATGGCAGACCCATGTTTTCACTTTCTGATGACCGAGTCATGGCTGATAGAGTCTTGAAGACTCACAGTCCAGACATGATCTTCTTTGACGTCAAATCACTTCTCTCCGTTGTTGATGACATCTTCAAGTCTCATGTCCCATCCATCGACTCCTCTGCTCCTAAGGTTTTGTTTCTTGCGCACCAATTAATCCTCATATTTTACAAAAAAGATTCATTTACAAGTTTTTAAATGTGTACTTTTGCAGCCGTCACTTGTGTTCAAGGACTATGCTGATCACACATCCTTTGAAACTTTTGCGGATATCATCGATCAAATCTCTTGCGAGGTATATATGGTTCATCCTCATATGAAGCTTTCTTGTTTTAATTTCTGATGCATTTTCTAAAGTATCAATGTCTCTGACACACAGATCGACTGCAAGTGTCTCCATGGTGGTGAGCCTCACGGAGTAATGACATCAGGGCTTCATTTAGACAATCGCAACACGACGACGTTCTCTGTTCTGTCTCTTGTCTCCAAATATCGTTGGGATGCTAAGCTAGTCCTTGTCCTAGCCGCTTTGGCTGTGAAATACGGCGTTTTTCTCCTTCTCGCGGAGACATTCGCAACAAATCAACTCACTAAATCTCTGGCTCTCATCAAACAGCTCCCTAGCATCTTCTCTAGGCAGAACGCTCTGCACCAGCGTCTCGACAAGACCAGGATTCTGATGCAAGACATGGTCGACCTCACCACTACCATCATTCGGATCTATGAACTCCCACCCAACCACATCACAGCTGCGTTTACTGATCATGTCCCGACCGCGGTTTACTGGATTGTTCGCTGCGTTCTGATATGCGTTTCTCATATCAGTGGCGTCAGCGGTTTCAAGCAGGAGTAAGTAATTGTTCTTTCCGATGACTAAGCTTTCTTGATCTTCAAGAAAACTCTAACAAAGTTTCTCATTGGGATTTTCAGTCAAATCATGTCATTTATGGAAATTTCTGAGATACATGAGAATAGCGAAAGGCTCAGGAAGATCAATGCTTACCTGTTGGAACAACTGAAGAAGAGTCACCTAACCATTGGTGAGATTTATACTCAATTCGGCTTCG